AAGGTGTAGAATTAAGGAAGATATTAGCCTGGACCAAAAAACACTGGAAACTGAATGTTTGCAGAAGGGAAGTAGGTTTTATGGACCAATGACTCAAAATGTGCAGTATTTGCGTTGAACCACTGCGTTGACAAGTTTGGTAATCCTTCACTCTTCAAGAATGTTAGTGGGACAAACTAGACAGAAGAATCACTGCAAAATAACCCACAAAATAGCCCTGTGAAGATCTTGTTAAGATGAAGAATGATTATGCTGAAGAGTTCAACATTTAGGTAAAACTGCCTTATTGTAATGTATTTTCAGCCTAGAGAATGTAAAATGTTGACAGTTGTGTAAATAATATATACTTTAACAAAATGTATTGTCCTGTGAGGATATTATATTTCACCAATCTATCTTTTATATGGCGATACACAAAAGTACAAATTATATTTTGTCCATGTTTTGTTGATTTTCTAAGTGAAAATAAAATAACACATCCTGTACAGAGAACACAGCTCTGCACATTTCAATGCATAATTACTAACACCATTGAGCTTCCTGCTGTACAACACTGTGCAAACCTCGCCTGCAGGCCACTGACCCTCCTTGTGATAGTGCTGCTGCACAGACACGAAATATTTAATCATAGATATTGCTTCACCTGCTTTCCCCTTCTCTGTATTTTAACATTTTGTACTAATGGTAAAACATCAGTCTCTGTTTGTCTTGCTCTTTTGTTATTGTTTTGCTATCTGGTCTCAACCAGAGGGGGATGAGTTCTCCTTTTGAGGTTTGGATCCTCTAAAGGTTTCTTCCTCTTGCTCTTAGGGAGTTTTTCTTTGCTACTATCACCATTGGCTTGGTCATGGAGGCTTGGACCTAGATAAAGCTGCTTTGCCTGTTGTGGAAAGTGCTATATAAATAAAAATTGATTCAACTTTTGTCTATTTATTTACTGAATTTAATATATTGGGGAAAAATAGGTAACACTTTATTGTAGGGTACTGTTTATAAGGCTACAAGACACCTACATAAGCTTGTCATGACATGTTTATAAATGCTTATTCCAATAGGCACCATCTGCTCTAAAGGCTACTTTAGCTAACTTTGATCAAAATTGGCAAATGCAGCCTTTATACCAAATTACACCTGCTCGAATAAGCATTTATAAACATTTACGGAGGGTTATGCCAGTTGTCATGAAAGCTTATGTAGGTGTCACATAGCCTTTTGAAAACTGGCCTTCAGTAGTTACTGAAAAATAAAATATAAAACAATATTAAATATAACATCAATATTATAAAATATTATAAAAACAATATTATAAAACAATATTATAAAATATGAAAACATTAGTAGTGTTACTAAAAAATAAAATATAAAACATTGCCTGTGCAAAAGTTATGGCACATTTTACGTTTTATGTTTGTTTGTTTTTTTTTCAATATATTAAAGTCAGCAAACAAATTAGAATTGTGCATTCAATTAGAAGAAAATGGCATATTAAACTTTGTTCACTTACTTTTACTTAGGCTGTTCAAACATTTCCCTACAACTGCACCTGTATGCAAGAATCAAGTCTTTCTGACATTAATGTACAATAGCTGAGATAAATCATAGAGCGGTTTGAGCGCTCAATTTTCTGGCCAGTCATCGTGAATGTTACAAAGTTTCTGTCTGAGTGCTGTACTCTGCAGAAACTGAGAAGAACACTGACCTCTGTTTACAGCTTGGCTGCAGATTATTAGACATGGCCAGTTAGGACTGCTTCTGTCTGGTCTGTGTGTGTAAACACAACATTGCTGCAGCAGTAAGAAAAAGAGTGTGTCCCTAAAAGATTTTCTCATCTCCTCTGGGTCAAATGAAGGAAGAGGAGACAAGAAGCAAACACGACTATTAGTTCATTCTCCTCATCATAACATACAGTAAAGTTACAGATTCAACTCATCAGCTTATTCCCAAGCCCTTCATGAGGTCCAAATCAGGTGTTAGAATAATGAAATGCTAAAAGACATGACAAACTACATACTTATGCTAAGTAAAATTTGCACTTAGGCTACATATGTACATACCTGCAGAGGCTACACACTATACAGTAACAGTATACAGTAATTTCCTCTTACTAAACTCAGTAAGTTCTTCTTCATGGTCCAAAAGCTGCTAGGAATAATCTGCCTATGTTTACTCTTAATCTCAATAGTTTCTCAATTGCACCTGGCACATCTGTAAAAAGCATTGGTGTCACGATCGATCCCGATCTGGCCTTTCAATGAGCATATTACCAATATTACCAGAATAGCTTTCCTCCACCTGCGTAACATCGCTAAATTAAGAAATGCACTGTCGCTGCAGGATGCAGAAACTTTAGTTCACGCCTTTATCACGTCCAGGTTAGATTACTGTAATGCTCTGCTTTCTGGTTGTTTCAGCCAAAACCTTAACAAGCTTCAGTTAGTCCAGAACGCTGAGCCAGAGTTTTCACCAAAACCAGGAAATTTGACCACATTAGCCCAATTTTGTGTACCTTACATTGGTTGCCAGTTCAATTCCGCATTCAGTACAAAATTCTTCTACTGACATATAAAGCTTTGAATGGCCTTGCTCCTCAGTACCTCAGTGACCTTATTTCCTACTATCAACCAACACGCCCACTTAGATCACAAGGTGCTGCTCATTATTAGTACCCAGAATAAATAAAGTTACGTCAGGGGGAGGAGCCTTTTCATACAACGCCCCCCAGCTTTGGAACAGCCTACCAGTCTGTGTTCGGGACTCAGACACAGCCTCCATCTTTAAGTCTAGGCTAAAAACTTACCTGTTTAGTTGAGCCTTTGGTTAATTAGTTTTCCTGTTAGAAAAAGGCGCAGATCTGGGACAGAGAGTCCTATGGTAATCTGGGAATGTTGGTGCTGAACTTACTATCTGTCCCCCTTATCCCCCACCCCCCCCAGCCCCCCCTCTTTCCCTGAGCTGAGCGGCTGCCCGTCCTAAGAGGGTCTGATGTGAACACCACTCAATCACGTCCCAGGGGGATCTGATGCGGCTGGCGCATTGTACAGAAGTGCAAAACTGTATCCACTTATACTGTTTTGTGTCTGTGCTGTTATCCGGTGTCGACCAGAGGAGGATGAGTCTGGTTCCTCTCGAGGTTTCTTCCTCCTGTTGAGGGAGTTTTTCCTTGCCACTGTCGCCAATACTTGCTCACTGGGGGCCTGGACCCAGATTCTCTGTAAAGCTGCTTTGTGACAACATCTGTTGTAAAAGGTGCTATATAAATAAATTTGACTTGACTTGACTTGACTATATGTATATGGGCCTACATACATTTTGTGGCCAAAAGTCTGTAGACACCTCCTGTTCATTCAAACTTTCTTCTGAAAGCAAGGGCTTGTTCCCCTTTTGCTGCAGTTACAGCTTTGACTCTTCTTGGAAGGTTTTGCACTAGATGTTGGAACAACAGTCACAAGAGTATTATTGATGTCGGATGTTAAGTCCATCCAAAAGGTTCTAGTTGGAGCTCCACCACTCCACAGAACGCAGTTCTGCTGCTCCACTGCCCAACGCTGGGAGGATTTATACCCCTCTAGCCACCGCTTGGTAGGGGCATGGTGATCTTAGATTCATGTGCAGCTCCTCCAGAGCGGCCCATTTTACTAACAATGCTTTTCTATGAAGATTACATCTTCAGAGCACATCCGATAGCCTGCATCAGTATTTGGAGGACCTTAAAGTAGCTGGATTCACTAATTAATTTTTTTTATTTTTTTTTATTTAGAAAATTGACAAAACGTCATTTGACCAGGATTGTTCAGGATACTTTTGGACAATTGGTTATTCTATGAAAAAAAGAGCCATTTGAAGCAATGTATACAAAAAACAAAAATCAGCTAAGTGTCTTTAAAGCTTAAATATATGAATTTAAAGTTAATTCTTAAGACAGTGTACGAAAAACATTCAATGTCAGTGAAAAAGATATGTTTTTTATTTATATGTCTTATTTTCACATGAGTGAAGGTCTACAAAATAAAAGTAATTTTAACATAAAAACACTGCTCAAATGAGTATCTGTGTCTGTATTAACAACATATAATTTAATTAAAACATTTAAAAAATAATATAATACTTTAATAATAATTTGTCTTACTGAGTTTTGCTTTCCCCTCTGTCACTCTGACTTATTTATTAATAAAAATTATGTACTGTCATATTAGGTGACATAATAAAGAGTAAGTGATCAAGAAGTGTTGCTTTTATTCAACATAAATTTTCTTGTCCTTATCGAGGTCTGTCAGGATTTTGCAATTGCAATTTTGCAGTTTTCACAAAAATGTCATGCAATGTACTGTTGAAAAGGTTAAAACGTTTGAACCTTGACATCAGAGAACATGCTACCTTACTTTGCATGAAATATCCCACCCTATCACATTCCCTTCACAAGCTCAGTATGATGGTTGTACACACAAATATGTGATATGGTTACTGAGGTAGTCAAATCTGGTTGGTGGTAAAAACTGTGTTTTTTATAAAATGAAAAATTTTCAAATCAGCATAAACATTTGACACAGATCTTGTGTAACGACTCTTCTATTACTGGTCCTGGTATATCTAACCAGCATGTTGCTTTCCAAACTATAGACTCTCAAATGTACAGGAGTAAATGACAGTCTGAGCCTGAATTCAGGTGTTGGATGAGGCCCTGCATGGCTAATGATTCAAGGCCATGCTAGCTTTACTCACTTTTATGCCGAACGTCTATTCAGAAAAGCTCCCTCCTTTGTGCAGCATGTTTTAATATGCAAAAGACTGTTATAAAATCAATGAATATGCAAATTAAGTGTTGCATCATTCAGAGACTCCCTGCATTACTTAGCATAATGTTCACTGGCAAAGAGTTGGCAAGATTTCTCGAAGAAATCTTCCCCAGCTCATTTCAATGTCCACTGGGACAGCACTTTTGGTAAACATTTACAGGAGCAAGGAGACTTTGTCCAGCCGTTCTTGTATAAATTAGCCAAAGAGAAGCCCAGATGGGGAGGCAGCTGTCCATTTCTACTTCAGAACTCAAATACGTTATCAGCCTAGCTGTCTTTCTACTAGCATGGCTACACGGTGGGGCATCTGTGGAGCAGGAAAGATCAGCCATGACTTCAGCGTGGCCATGAAAACCCTGCCAGCAAAAGAGCACCAGGTACCTACCTTCTCTGCACCTAATCTCCATACATATACCAATGCACAGCCCTCAGCTGATTACTGGACTGCATGTGTCTATTTGTTCCAGATAACAGCGGTGGCTGCAAGAAGCCTGGAGAGAGCACGAAAGTTTGCTGAGACTCATGGCATCCCCAAGGCTTATGGGAGCTACGAGGAGCTGGCTGATGACCCAGATATTGGTAAACAGACTCTAGATGACAGACAATGATTGTAGTTTGAAGTTTGACATTTGCTGCTTTCACATTATTTGGTGGGGTATTTTACTCAGTACATTGTTTGTCAATTGTCATTGCAATAGTAGATTTTGCAATATTTATAATGGATACTTACAAGCAAATGAACCCTTTAACAAGTCATGCTTTTTTACTGTTTGCTGTGAACATTCACAGGTTCAGATGAGTGCTTATGTGAATCCAACAAATATAAATTATTTTAGTCAAAATAATGCAAGCCATTCTGCAATCAAGTCACATTATTGATTTGCCAAGGCATGTTAAATATATACTGCAAGTCACTATTAGGCCTAGTGCTAATGCTAAACTCTTTCTGCTAGTGCCTCTATGGGATTCTAGTAGTATGTTAGTGCAATCCATATTAACACTTTTTGAAACTTTTGAAACTTAAAACATGTAAAAAAAATTCTATGTTTTATTTGAAGCTTCTAACAAATATTAGCACAGATTTTACCTTTCAGCCAATGGCATATGCTGTGTGTGTGTGTGTGTGTGTGTGTGTGTGTGTGTGTTCGAGGATATGCAGTGTTGTGTTATTTTGCCTATGTGTCTGTTTTTTTAAATGTCTGTACATACACTCCTACAGATATCGTATATGTGGGTGTCCTTCACACTGAGCACCTGAAGGTGGGTCTGCTGTTCCTGAATGCAGGGAGGAATGTGCTGTGTGAGAAACCCTTTGCTATGAACCTCAGAGAGGTCAAACAACTCACCACAGCGTCCAGAAGGAACAACGTCTTCCTCATGGAGGTACACCCTCAAGTCTTCTGTAGGATTAAAACCTGTAGTTATATCAGTATATATCTGTAGCTGATCAGTGTTGAGATGTATATCAGATGGATTTTTATTTTATATGACTGAGTCATGCAACTGAATAGAACAGATTAAAGTGTAACAAAAATGGTGTATTAGGGCTAAATTGACGTTGTCAATGTAATACTTGATCTTGCATGTTGTTTAAAACTTAAATAGAAATTTACAAATAAGCCATTTCCAACAAAATTAAAGAGGACCAGACATTAATTGGATGGACAGACACTGGCCCTAATTAGTGCTAACTGATTGCCCTGGGATAGTAAATTACTGTTTTGCTTTAAAACGGATGGATTACCGTTATCACTGTTCACAAACAAGCAAACATGAAGAGAGCAAGGTCCAGATGGCCTTTGTTCACTTGTTAGTTATTAGCAGTGATGTTCAGATACATTAACATACCATTTCTACATACATTTTAACCACCTCTTCATTGTTTATATCTAGAATTATGGGCTCACAATGAATATATAAACATAAATTGTCTGCATTGTGAGCTTTATCATGTTATATACATGTAATAAGAATAGTATTAAGAACAGTTGTAACTGGCTGCTGTAAATAAAGCCCCTGTACTATAAAGTAAAATGGTCTGATTAACTAGATTAGGTTAACTTCTATAAAGCTTGCTCCCCAATATTAACAAAATTTAGGCTACATATATGTTCCTCCCTACAAAATTTAGGGAGGAACATATACTGGCTAGCAATTAAATTACAACACAAGCACGTGCCTTATTGTTAGCACTTTGCCAAGGCTGAGATGTTAATAACTTGATTAAGACAATAGAGATTCTTTACAGTAGATATGCTATCTACTTTAGCAAGGAACAATGAGAAGATATTCCTCTGACAGTCAAACATATTGGCACATCTTCCGCCGAGGAGAATTGACCATGTGTAGAAGACAAAATATCCTCATCAGCATCCAACATCGTATCAGTTAGCTCTAGTGTTAGCTCATTAGCTCATCTGAAGAGACAGCCTCTGTTACTTATTTGACACAAATACCTACTGATTTCCTTTGGCTGTTTTCAATGATAAAAAAAACATGCTACTGAATTCTTTAGCCTCCCAACACCAGTGATGTTACCTGAAAAAGGTAAAGCAAGGCCTTACGTTAATTTCTGCCAAAGTCTGCTTTTCTTTTTTCTTGCGTTTGTGTTTTCTTTCCCCGTGGTTAACTAGATATCGATTCATTAATTCTCACAAATACAGCCTAATTTTTAGATGAGTGTTTACCTGGTATCATGCAGCTTGAGGCTAGAGTGTGATCAGTTATGTATATATGTGTGCAGCTTGCACAATGTTATTGTAGCTATCCGTTACATGTTAGCTACATTAACATCATAGCTCCAGTGCAAAATAACAGAACAAACCACTTTTTCTCTCTCTCTGTGCTTCAGGCTCTGTGGTCCAGGTGTTTTCCAGTGTACACTGAGGTGGGCAGGCTGCTTGCAGAGGATGCTGTAGGAGATGTAAAGCTGGTGAAAGCTTATTTTGGCTCCCCTCAGCTCCACATCCCCCGCTCTGTGGAGAAGGGGCTGGGAGGAGGCGCTCTGCTGGACATCGGAGTGTACTGCCTGCAGTTCGTACTGATGGTGTTCAAGGGGGAGAGACCAAAATCTGTCCACGCCACAGGAGTGCTACTCGACTCAGGTAGGAGGGTGAGGAATGTCTATAATCATTGCAGTCTGTTCTGAAGGTTGACATGGTTGAGAAGTCTGTGGGCAAACTTAATAATGCTGAACTGTATTAGTGTTTACTGAATTATTCATAGTGGTTACTGAATAAAAGGCCTTAAGATGAATATCTGAACAATAATGCCCTAAACTTCTTGTTTAAGGGGTTAACAAAAGTGTTTTTATTAGCTCCTGCATACTTTTCACAATTTTTTTCTGTTCTTATGTTTTTCTTATATCTAGGAAATAATGAAACAATTTCTAACAGTCAGCCCTCTGACGGAAAGCTTCATAAGGCCTTCACATATCACCCATTAATGCAAGCAGGACAATATGTTAGGTTTTGTTTTTAATGTAATCATGTAGTCCTGTAGGGCAGATGGAAAACATAGTGGATAACTGCACAGGTAGTTTAGTGACTGGTCTAAACTCACTATATTCATCAATGAGCAGTTTAAGACAAAGATGTGCTTAAAGGGGAATGCCCTTGATTTAAAAAAAAAAATCTTCATAATTAAATCAAACAAAAATGATAAATGCAAACAAAGTGATTCAGAGTAGTTTTATGTGAAATGCTCCATTCCAGCAAAACTTATCAGGTTAGAATTGTTCACAGTGTCGGTGATAGGAACCAGACGTCTGAAGAGTTTAAAGCCTATAGAAGCTACATCACAGAGAGCTCTTACACAAAATTGTTACAGATACACTGCCTGATACCTCAGACATTGTTTTAGAATAGTTTTGAGATAAGGTTTTGGCCTAAAATGCATTTTAAAGTCCATTCATTATGTCAGTAAGTCAGTAAGTTTCTCTACATTGAAACATTTCATATCAAACCACACTGATTGACTTTGTTTACATCTCAAAGACTGAATTGTGCAGACATTTTTGAAAAATTTGTGGAGTTGTCTTTAATTGACTGTGTATTTTGTACTCTACACACACATACATACATTCTACATCTGGCTATTGTTCCTGAGGTCATCTGAATTTGAGACCCCTGCTCAGCCAATATTACTTTGTTAATGTTTGTTGAGTAATGTTTTGATGTGTTCTGGGTTTTTAAATGCTTGAATATATCAGCAACAAAGGATTAATGCATTTCTTAAAACTTACTGATCATTGTCTGACTCACTCTACTTTCTCAGGAGTGGATGAGTCCATGGTGGTCGTTCTGAAGTATTCACGGAACCGGATGGCATGGTGTGCTTTCTCCATCGCTGTGGCTCTCCCCAATGATGCCATCATTACTGGCACCAAGGGCACCATCAAAGTAGGCTTCCTTTAGTCTCTTACAATGCTGACTTCTTATTAAGATATTAAATGAAGACCGAATGCTCAGTAATTACAATGAGTAATTTAGTCATTTCTAGGAACGTAATTTGCAAGATATGTAGTTATGAAACTGAGGAACTGAAGTGTGGGCCAACATATGGACCCTTGCAGTTTAAAGGGTAACACTTTATTTAAAGGCTATTTACATAGGGACTCCATGGCACATGCACAAGCAATGAATAATGTATTTATAAAGCAATACTTACACATTTATGAACAGCTTATGTCAGCATTTGAGTGACACAAAAAGTTTTATGAAGTAAATGACATTCTCTTGACATAAGTTGCTTAAACAAAAGTGACAGACATTTGTTTCATGTCATATCACTATCATGACATATCATTCTCAAATAATGGGACTCATAAGGCAGACACCTAGTAGACACATAGGCTTCATATACCAGATTTATGAAAGATTTGATTACCTCAGTTGATAATAACCCCATCTATATTTCTACTTCAGTACAAAAGTACAAAACTACTTGCTTATAAATGCATTTATGTATCAAAAATAAACATAAAGTCAGTTATTGTATTCTTGATAACCAATTACCATTAAGAAGACATATGTCTACAGTGACACAGGTTTCCTTAATAGAAACTGTACTGCATTATATTGCATTGTAGTTTCTTTAGAACTGATTTATGGCATCTAGGCCTCTAGCTTATGAGCTCCAGAGTGCACTACGGTGCTGATGCACTACTTGATAAACTGAGTTGGTGCTACTGAGTTGGTGCTACTTCGTGTTGAGGTGCAAATCGCTTGCATTCAATAGAAATGACACCTGCAAAGAAACCACTGTTTAATGTTGGAGAGGAAAGACCTAGAAGGAAAACAGAACTTTCCCTTATTCAGCATACTTTGCCCTGTTGTTGTTGTGCATATACTCAGACCGCTTAGGAGTCCAAGAGCTAGAATAGAACCTTTTTCTTGGTTCAATAAGTAGAATATCAGTATCTAACTTATTCCTGAAGTAGAATATCTTGTGCTAGGTTTCTTACCCCATGCATTGCCCAACCACTCTGGAGGTGAATGGGAAGCAGACTCACTATCCTCTTCCAGACCCCTCTCTGCCTCTCCACTTCACCAACAGCACAGGGCTCCGCTATGAGGCCGAGGAAGTCAGACAGTGCTTACTCAAAGGTAACAGAGTTGTACCTTACTGTTTTTTTTTTTTCTTTACATCCTCTCAAAGGAATCAGATCTATTTTATTTTACTGTTTCGTGCAGTTATTGTGTTGTACTGCTTGTGGTGTTATGATGGTAGTCTATTATTATTTAATTCTAATTTGTGTAAATTGTTCAGACCATGCCTTCAACATGAGGTGGTAGTATGAGGGAAGACTGACTGAGGGAGTGGGGAGAACTCTGAGAACTTGGGCTGGAGTTCTAGGCAGCTTCTGCCTGTAGCTTGAAGGCCAGACCCCCCCTCATAGCTGTAGTAGGACTGATGCAGGACTGAGGAACATGGACAAGATGGAGTGGTGGTGGGGATAAGGATGTAAATTTATAGGGCTTTAGATTGGAAGAAGGAGGGGTTTCAGCGATGTTCCTCCCCCCAAACTTCAGTGATAACATAGCTACATTTGTAATTTATCGAATGGCCTTTTCTTTTATTCTCCTGTTATACAGCACTTTGACCAGCTTTTGTGCTTCAGAAATATGGACTGTTTTTTTGCAATAATAATAATAATAATAATAATAATAATAATAATGTTTATTTATAAATCACTTTTTATTTGAATTACAAAACCTCAAAATGCTTTACCCATTAACATAAGAAAAAAAAACAATAAAAATTAAATTTAATGAAAAAAAAAAGCAAAACAGCTAGACCTTTTGGTCCATGCAGAACTTGAGTGAGTAAATGTCTGACTGAACTGTCTAATGTCACATCAACCAAGCTAACAGCAGTCTGTTCTGTAGGCCTGAAGGAGAGCCGCAGAATGACCCTGGCAGACTCCGAGCTGCTTACTGAGATCATGGACGAAGCAAGGAGACAAGTGGGCGTGGTTTTTGATCAGGACCATCAGTGAGGTTGCAAGAAGATACACTGATTACAATTTACTGAGTAGGCCAGCCAAATACCACAAAACAGTATACAGTACACAATGCACTGTTTTCATACAACAGAACTATAGTACTGCAACATACTGAAATGATTGTTTATTCTAATCATGTCTGTTTTATTAATATACACATATACAAAGATATTAATTAATGGACTGTCATTACATTCTGTGTTTCTTTGCTGTCATGCTAGCTATAAAAATATAATTTAAAAATATATATCTTTAAAAGTGCCTAAGGCTCTTTATACCCTCTCTGACCTTACAGCACAGTTCCTCTGACCCAGATTAAACCTAACCTAGACAAAATAGGATTTTTAAGTGTGAAGGGTTAAGACTAGGCTTAAACCATGTCCACAAAACTGGCTCTTACGAAAGTCTGGAGAGGTCATGAGCTGTTATAATTATATAGAATTTTCTGAATTGTAATCCTGAGGTAACAAGTTAATTATCTTGTGATCTCAAGATAACTTTGTAATCTTCAGATCACAAATAATTTACTTGTTACCTCAAGATAACAACTTTTGTTATCTCAAGAAAACAAGATAACTGATTATTTTAAAATAACTTAACTTGTTATCTCAAGATAACAATCCAGAAAGTTATAACTACCTCATGGCCTCTCTGGACTTCCGTAGGCTCTTTAGGTCTTGGTGCATTATATAAGGTTATTGTTTTGGAACACATGCTAATTCAGTGCAATTCCTTAAATATCCTGCCGCTAACTTGCTAAGTGCACACATGGAAAGGATTTCAATTCAACAAACAATACTCTGTAGGATTATAATTACAACATGTGTGCTGATAATATAACATGGTGCATAATATGCTAGATTATGAGTAACTTCAGCTCATTAACTCAAGGTCAAGAGAAGCAGCCAGTACCTTTGGAGTGAGTCAACAGTCATGTCGTCTACTTACCACTGCTATGCCCTTCAGCCTCCTGGATTAAGGCACTTAACCTACAAGTGCTGCAGTGTGACTGATCCATGCTTTCGGGATAGTGATGAATAAAACATAGATTTTCAGAATGACTTTATTGACACATACACTCATACACACTGCATATGGAACTGTGTGCATTTATAAATTAATGATACAGAAAAAAAAACTGTAAAAAAGCAAAAACAAACAGTAAACAAATATACACAGACCAGCCACTTCATTAAGTACACCTTCTCTGCGTGCTAGTGTTTGAAAACATGGCAAAAATGAAATATAAGGATTTGTCCTGATATATATGTATACTTTTTCAGATCTGAAGCAAGAGTTGAGCTTGACTGAAAAGCTTTAAGTGCTATTTAGAGTTTTGTTGCTCTACCAGGTTATGCACAGTTGTTAAAGCCCCATTTTCTCTTTATATTTTAATTATTTTTTGGACCTTCAGTTTTTTCATTGATTTTTTCTCTGACTTTCCCCTTCCTTATGAATATGTGTCACTGCACTCTCATAAAGATGGTTCTTTGGTAAAGACAATGGTTTTATATAGAACCCTTTGCATGACTAAAGTGTTCTATGCATCGTGAAAGGTTCTTCAGATCAACTTAGAATCTTTTGTGCATGGTTCTATACACAGCCTTTTTTGAAAAGGATTCTATATAGCACCAAAAAGTGTTCTTCTATTGTTATGATGTCAAGCTTGTAATAGAAGAACCCTTTTTGGTGCTTGTTTAGAATCTTTTTCAAAAAGTTTCCATAAAACCCTTTCATGATGCAAAGAACCCTTTAATCATGCAAAGGGTTCTTTGTGTGCTGCTGGTTCAACATAGAGCCATTTTCTTTACTAAAGAACCCTCAAAGAACCTTTTTTTAAGCACATATATATATCGCTGTTGTCGGACGAAAATCCTTGTTAACCTACTGTAATTTCAATGTAACAGACTTTTTTCCAAGCAATTTTGGGTCATTTCTCTTAGTCCATTCATCATGAAATTTACACACAATGTAAAGAGTAACAGGCATTTTCAAATTATGTCAAAAACTGAAAAACGTCAAAAATGATGATACAAGGTTTTCTTACGACAGCAGCTATACACACCCACTATATATATATATGTATATATATATATATATATATATATATATATATATATATATATATATACATATATATATAGTGTGTGTGTGTGTATAGCTGCTGTCGTAAGAAAACCTTGTATCTCCATGTTTATATATATATATATATACATGGAGATGTATATATACATAGTGTTATATAGTGTGTATATACATATATATATATATATATATATATATATATATATATATATATATACACACACATAGATGTTATTCCACTAATATATAAACAGTTCCTGTAGTCACATTTGTCTTTTCAGTATGTTTTAGAAAATAATTATTAACTGTGCCAAAATAATGGAAACATCAGTGAAATTTGAGATTTCATAATTAACCGAGTCTTAATGTGGCTCTGTGAGGCATACATGCACCAGACAGATTTTCGAGTGCATGTCTTGGTGTCTCAGAGGAACCTCTGTGCCGTCTGACTCTGAGCCACTCTGTGCAGAAAAAAGCAACATGACCTACAATAACAACTCATGTTTGTCGCCCTCTCGTGGCGCTCCTTCAATCTGGGGATCAGAACATAGAAAGCCAGAGAAGATCCTCCTTTCACTTCAGTGTGCGAAGTCGCCATCATGGCAATCAGGTGGGGGATCTGCAGCGCTGGAAAAATCAGCCATGATTTCACGGTGGCACTGAAGACCCTCCCTCAGGAAGACCACCAGGTAATGCACACACACCTGGAGTGACCTACACGTTCCCTGTTGCTTATTTAGGGCACATGCACCTCTCAGGGAACTCCATAAATAGTCTGGCTTTAGTTTGCAGACCAAAGCATGGTTCATGTAAGGAATATATACAAAAGTGACCTCATTAGACAGCAGGCAGGAACTGTGTTAATGCAATGCATGTATGCAATCTTCGTGTTGACTATTGCAGCTAAAGTTGCAGCCTACACACTTTGACACATTCTAACTGAAATGCAGTCAGTAATTTATCTCATGTAGTCAAGTTTCTGTAACTTTAAATGGGTCGTGCTCACTGAGCGCCTTCAAGTAGGTCAGTGCAGATTGTTCATCCAGGTTATCGAAAGGTTTGTCAGGTGTCCTGGATGTGCATGTAGATCAGATCAGAAAGAGCGTCCGCGTCACCTGAATGTGTCCCACAGTATCTGTGTCACGAGCTTGTGGGCGAAGCTGAAGTCAGACTTTTGGCCTGAGGCGCCAGAATGAAACTGCTGCACCATTTAAGGTGGAACGGGAAAATTCGAGCAATAAGCTGGAGATAAAGAAGCCAACTTCAGCCTCGTAGCCTGTAAATAGAGTGAATTTTAGTAGGTTATCTGCTACACAGCGCTCGCTTTGGCCAACATTCGCACATGCAGTTTATAAAAGAGCACGAAACTAGGTTCTTGAAAATATCAAAACGATTAGTCTGCTTTTTAGCCGTACTAGCTACTTTCAGCCTTAGTAGAACAGTTCGTGTAAGTTCTTTGTTTTGCATCGTAACCTTTGCCGCAGGGCTGCGTCCGAATAGTTTAATACAACTTCTTTCCCTCCAGTGTACCTGATCTGTAGCGCATGTTCTCAATATAGAAATATAAATAAATTGGCAGAGCTGACCAACAGGTAAATCCACATGACTATTGGATCAGGCAAAACTAGATAGGGAACTATGCGGACGCATTGTAAGTCGTACGCCCTCTCGCAATGCATCATGGGTATTGTAGTTTGTGCCGCCTGCTCAGAGCTAATTGCATTGAAATGTTTCACCTTTAAAACTACAACTCAAAGAAGTTGCGAACCGAAGTGAGGAAAAAATTTGCATACTATTAATTGAATCTTGATCAATCGATGTCCTGTTTATGCATCCAAAGAACTCAACGATAAATTGTTTAGAATCAAATCTTACGATGTGTTTAATGTTGTAGGGTGCGCTTCAACCAGGAACCTGGATACAGTGCTGTTTTGATATGGATGGATGGATAGATGAATAATTCAATAAATCAATGACTGACTGACTGACTGACTGACTAAACAGAATGTACATGGGGTGGACAATATTTTATTGTATTGTGATAAATTACATCAATACTGGAAAATATGTTTTCTAAGCATATCCTGGATAAGGTCAGTACTTAAAGAACACTGACCAGCAGCTTGTTTCATTACAAAGAGGGCATAATTAGGCCGCTGAATAAAAATAATTTAAGACCACTGGTGCTATTTTTGCTCGTTCCAATTTATTAAACCTCCTGAAAATGAAATACTGTGAGTCATATTGCGTATTGCAAAAATACCACATGACAGACCGATACTTCCTAGCTAAGCTATAAGATTTTTTTGGAGATTTTTTTCTAGATTTGTTGCCACAATACTTCTTATGTTCAGAGCTGTAATATCTCTGATATAACAACTTGTTTGCAAGGGTTTTTTTCTCTGTTGTTTCCACACTACCACACTATAATAAATGCATAGACCAGCTAATAAAAACTTAGCTTCTCTGAAATTTGAAGGTTCTGCTCTGCCAAAAGAAGAGCTGTGAGATTTGCGTTGATCTACAGGTGGTGGCTGTGGCAGCACGGAACCTGCAGCGCGCTGAGGAATTCGCCCAGAAACACAACATCCCCACGGTGTACGGCAGCTATGAGGAACTGGCCAGAGATCCCAACATCGGTATGGACAGTAGCCTGGTTAGTTCTTTCCTTAGTGTGAGGGTTCTTGACTGTGTGGATCTCTCTGGTACACTGTATGTCCAAAAGAGACTCATCTTCTAATTTAGCTACTTCAAGTACAGTCATTGGTGACACACATGTTTAGCTTGTATAACATCCATAGAAAAGCATTGCCAATAGATTGGGATGCTCTGGAGCATCTAGACATGAAGCCACTGTGCACAAAGCCAAGCATTAACCAGAGGCTCACAAAGTCCCCCTGGTATAGGGCTGTGGAGCAGTGGAACTTCTCTGGAGTGATGGAGCTCCATCCAGTAGCTTTGAGATAAGCTGGAGAGTGAAGTACCTGACCTCACTGATGTAAGATGTATTGCATCTAGGCTATGGATTTCTTGACCTAGTGCTTAGTATTTACTTGCTGGTCTGCAGAAAGCATGAAGCAAAATAAGATGGATGGATGGATGGATAGGCCCTGTTGACCCTTTAAATTAATGTTATGATGATGTTGAAGTTGTTATGCACCAACTACCACCGTCTTCATCATCATTTGCAGATGTGGTGTATGTGGGCACCATCCATCCTCATCATCTTCCAGTGGGGGTCCTCCTCATGAACGCAAAGAAGAATGTTTTGATTGAAAAACCTCTGGCTATGAACCTGAGAGAAGTGCAGGAGCTGGTGGCCACAGCAGAGATGAATGATGTGTTCTTGATGGAGGTAAGTAAGTATATCATAGATAATATATTGTTATTAAATCACAAATTGGATGCTTGAGTTATTAAACAACTGATGTAACTTATAACCTACCAATCTGTCTGAAACAGGTATTAATATGCTAGTCTTTTGTACAACAGATTTGTGTGATCAGTAGTTACTGGGCAGCCTAGAGCAAAATCAGGAAGCTGTGTGGGAGCTTCAAATACAGCCTGTAATGCCTATCATTATTTTTGTAGGTTCAGATACACAAACGCTCATCAAAATATATCTGACTTCATTAGCACTCTTGATTCGGTAGCACTCTCTATTCTGATTTAACACCTTTTGTTAAAGTGTCACTTTCCCACCTCTCTTCTTCCCTCCAGGCTGTGTGGACTAGGTTCTTTCCAGCCTCATTGGAAATCTACAGGCTGCTGTCCCAGGAGGCTGTGGGAGAGGTGAAGATGGTGCGAGCGGATTTCGGCGTGCCCCTCCTGAACACCCCTCGTTCAGTGGAGAAGGAGCTGGGAGGGGGAGCGCTGCTGGACATTGGCATCTACTGCCTGCAGTTCGTCCTCATGGTGTACGGTGGGGAGAAGCCTGAGTGCATCCAGGCCACCGGAGTCTGCCTGGACACTGGTAGGTGCTAGTAGAGTGGAGCAATAAGCAATGAAAGGTTGTGTGTTACAGTATGTTTTATCATTCTTAAGGGTTGTTGTGAAGTGAAACCCCTTAATTGAGTTAAATCACTGAAATGCACAGTCTGTAGTGGTTTATTGCTTTTATGAACCAGCAATAAAAAACAGTACAACAGATATACTAGATGTCAGTAAATAAATTAATGTATTATTAATATTAATCGTAATAAACAGTTCTTTCACCAAGCAATGTGGTTAGTTAACACCTGGCTCTGTAATTTGATTATTCTGTGAACAGCACAATTTTAATAACTTGCCACATTAATACACAGTTCAACTGTTGCAGTCTTGTGTTTATATAAAGTATCTTAGAACCGCTTCTGAAACGTGCATTAATAATTACCATATGATTACCAACTGGGCTAATTTCTATTGACTTAATAATAACTTATGATAAAAACTATATTCTGCACAGAGAGCATGTAACACTGTTAACATCCAGTGGTTCTCCACTTTTGTCATCGCAGTATATCAGTTGAAGGCTGCTCACCACATCAGTGTGAATGAAAACAGCCTCCTCTTTTGGTCCTCTTATTCAAAGTTGCATATGATGCGTTTTGACTTTGGGCCTTTTCAGTTTATGCACTAGTCAAACCGCAGTGCTAGCATTGCTCTGATTTGCCTGGGTTATTAGGCTGGAGGTCTGTTTTATTAGACTGTTGACTTGGTTGCAAAGGTTTTGCTGTGTACTATGCAGCACTACCTACTATAATGAGTGACTAAGGCCTGTTAAATTTTGAACTGTGGAACCATAAAAGATATGATTGAAATTTAAAAAGCCTTTTACCTTCCTGAAGGGTTTGGTTCTAAAACGGTTTTGTTTATTCTGGTCTTACATGTAAATATAAGGAAGTTCATATATTCAGTGCTGCTTCACCTGTTAAATGTAAGTTAAAGAGTGAAGTTAAAGAATAATACAGAGTGATGTGGCTTCTTGCAGTAAAGAGCAGGACAGTTAAATGACTCATGTTTTATGGTTCAGAGAAAATCTGTCCCAGTTTAACATTTAACATGACTCGGTCAGTCCACAAAGTATTATGATTAAATATACTGGCAAAAGGCACAATGTTCCTATCTGAAAAAGTATCTCTGCAGAAACTACAGAAACTCAAGAAACATACTCTAAAATTCAAGCCTTGAAAACATATTCAAAAAACTTCATAAGGGAGAGATTAACCTTAGAAGCCATGTGTTAATATTGTCATTTTGAAATATACTTATTTACATTATATAATTTTATACAATTTTGCAATTAATTACATAGGTATTTACATGATGAATTACTTTTACATTTTATTTATGTTCTATACTGACAGGTTTGACTCTGCACTTTTGATTTTATTCCATGTGTTTCAATATGGAGAAATGACAAAGGTGCAAAAATGAAAGGATGTTTCTTAGTTACACAGAACAAGACTGAGCAAAACCTGTCATCAGAATCAAATCATAATAATATAGCTTCACTTCTACTTACAAACACACTTTTCACTGAATTTCTCTGCTTTTTTTCAAAGAACAACAAGAGATTATTGATATAAAAAGACAGAGTGCCCTTGTTTTTTGCTGGGTAACCCAGCTGACCACACCAGTCCTGTAATACCTTAAAATATATTGTGATGACCTGCTGGACTTATACTTACTTATACTTAAATGTTTCCCCATCGCTGCTGATAAGAACTCACCTCAAAGCCTCTCCTGTAAAGCTTTGGCCCACAGGAACTCCTTCATCTCTCTATAGCAGATCATACTGGACACTTTGCTCCTGTTATAGCTGCTAGCCATGATTACACCCCCACATATAACCCTTATTCCTTCCATAAGTATAAAGACAAAATCACTTTAACACCAATTGTAGATGCTGGAGGCTCAGATAAATTTTGTCTTTGCCCTCTTTTTTGTGCTGTTTTGGATGTGCTAATTATAGTACTCTCTAAATCTTCTCCCCTTGAGGTACTTGCTTGTTGCATTTAGAGCAGCTGTGCTTTTACACTGAAAAAGTAGTGCATTGTGAGTTTGTACCTCATTTCCATATGAATAAGAGATATTACCTCAACACAGTTTTGTCTTTCCATTTATTTACTTTTGACAGTAATTGAATTTGAGAGTGTTTGAACAGAAACATCAACAAACAGTGCTGGATCAAGAACTTCTAGTACCTGGACACCACAGCTTAAGTCACGTTTTTGTAATTGTAATGTCTTTGTGTGCATTGCAGGAGTGGATGAGAGCATGGTGATCACACTGAAGTTCTCGCGGGGCAGGCTGGCAGTGTGCACATGCACAGTGGCTGTGGAGCTTCCAAACGATGCCATTATCAATGGGACTAAAGGAACTATCAGGGTAAATAGTAGGTTTAGACAGAGATTGTTTCGTAATGAAGTGTTCTGCTTTTGATTGTATGATGCAGGACATTCGTATAGTTCTTCTTAAAGGGCAATTCTGCTGAGTTCTAAAATTGCTGCATAATTAAATCGTTGAGATGCACACAAAGTCATTCAGAGTGGTTTGATGTTAAATGCTCCATTCTAGAGAAACTTAAGTCAGAATTATTCACAGTGGTGATGATAGCAACCAGACGTCTGAAGAGTTTAATGTCTCTAAAAGCTACATCACAGAGGATTATTACATGAAATGGTTATAGGAATACACTGACTGATGCCTGAGACATTGTTTTTAATAGTGAGATAAGTTGTGTTTTTTTTCTTCATGGCAGAGACGTACACGCAGGGTGTTGTAAAGCAAAATAGCACCCAAAGAAAATTAATTTCTTTGAGGTTTACAACTATTCTACCATTATCAACATTACATATCATTGCTGTGGCATTTGATGAGAAGCAGACCAGTCGAAATAGTTCAAAATTACTTTGAAAAATATCTTGCGTTACAAGTTAATAATGATTTTTCCTTCTCTTGTAAATGAACCATTCTGGAGACACAAGGTTTTGTTGTTACAGCGTTGATATAAAAACTCATGTTGGTTTGGGTAGTAAATAAAATGGCTATATTTGAGTCTGTAATTTTCTCTACAGTGAATCACTTCATGTAATACCACTCTGAATTGAATCATTCATTGATTCAATATTGAATGAATTTGTTTACATGTTAACAAATGAATTAAGCAGAAAAAATAACTTTGAAAATTCTGTGGAATTTCCCTTTAATCCTGCTTCTGGCAGCCCATAGCACTGCACTGCTTTCAAATATTCCTTGATTCAACACATCTGATCCAGCCCATCAAGTGATTATGGACCCTTCATGAGGTGGGTTGCGGCAGTGAGTAGTGAAAATGTGTTGTGGGTTGCCAGGAGCAGGACTAAGAAACACTAGTTTATTATGATGTTATATTTGTCATAATAAACCATTTGTCATATATGTGACTCATATATCTTAAAATTCATCTAAACATTTTGTGAAATGAACACTACCTTTATTATGCTTTTGTTATGCTGCCATTTATAGTACAGTGTGGAGCTGTGATATATGATGATATTACTTTTCAGCTATATTTGATAGATAATGGACATTATACCTATAGTACAATGTCCATAAAATATCAAGTTAATATTTACAGTTCTGTGTAAGGCTTCCTTTAGTGTAATTGTATCTGAAGACCATGGCATAAAATAGTCCAGTCCGAACAAGCTCTGTCAGATTTCTAGGACATTCTTTTAGTATAGAGATGTAGCACTCAGGAGACAAGTGTTCATTAACTTTATTCATTTGAGTGTATTAACTATATTAATAGTAACTTAAATATTATTTGATGCCACGTAAAAATATGGTGATGGAAAATCATGATAACACTAAATTGAATTTTATCAATACTGCCCACTCATAGGGCAACATAGTAATTAATTGTGCAGATAAGGCAGTACCCTGTTTATGCAGACTGATGCTGGTGGTGTAATCAGTGTGTTTGTGTTTTCGAACAGGTCCCTGCTCATATGTGGTGTCCCACATCGCTGATAGTGAATGGTAAAGAGACGCCATACCCAGTACCTGAGCCTTATCTACCTCTAAACTTCATCAACAGTACTGGCATGAGATATGAGGCAGAGGAAGTCAAACAGTGTCTGCTCAAAGGTGAAAAAATGACCACCAAGTGTGACACAGACACTATTATTACGTGATGTATTAGGCAAGTTAACATAATTGCGGTACTGCTGAGGCATGAACGCAATCATCAGCAGGGCAGCATGCTGTCGCACTCTCATAAGCATAACAAATATTCACTGTGTGAATTTCCCTTTGTCCACTGCATTCCTTTCCACTTAAACCAGACTGAAATGACGTCCTGTCAGACTGGGACTGCTGGAATCAAACCACATAAGACAGTGGTTCTCAGTCCTGCTCCCTTGCCTTGCAGATTTTAATGTTGTCCATGCTCTAACCCACCTGACTCAGCTCATCAGGTCTTTAATAAGCCCTTCTTTAGTTGTACAGGGGGTTTCAGAGCTACAAAACACAAAATGCTAAACAGAACCAACACTGAGATCCACAGATATAAATGGTAGCAGTATTGTCGACATGTAATAAAGCAACCACTAGATGGCACACGGAAGCATTTTTTTGGTTCTACAAAGTATTTGCGGGGGTGGAAAAATCTTAAGTGACCACTTCCCTTCTATACTTATCCAGTTTAATCCAATTATTCCCAGCTATCTGAGTAAATGAATTTTAGACAGCAACTACAGTACTGTTTAAAAGTCAAATGCCATCCTTAATTTATTGAATTACCAGTTACTCATTTTAGCATTAGCATCATATTTCACATCTTTTTGGGAGACTTTCACTTTGTCAGTAATTCAGAAATTTGTAGGAATATATTTCCACACTTCTAAAGTTCAGTCTTAGAAATTGGTTGCATTTTCTGCTTCTCATGATCCAAGTAATCCCAAACACATTCAGTGATGCTGAGGTCTAGACTCTGGGTGGCCAGTCCATTGTTCTGAGAACAACAGCAGCCTCTTTGTTTGACTTGCACATTTTCTTTTTTGTCTAACTATTGTTAAACTACAGAGTCAAAAGTTGCGTCAGTTAATCAGTTAAACAAAAAATAAGAAATAAAAAATAATGCTGTTCAACAGTTAGTTAAACAATAAACCATCTAAATAAAACTGACACAGCAGAAAATATAATAATGAAAATATTATATGTAATCTCTATTGGATCATCAGGTTCTAGCATGTGCAAAACATCAAAGTTAAGCTATATAAAAGAAAATAGTTGTTGATAGTTGAGATTATAAGCAGCAAGTATGAGTCACTGCATGATCACATTGGTCACAGTTGTGACTATGTGCATGGTTACATCTCCTGTGAGCATGATATAAATGTAACAGTACAATCTTATTAAAAATTCAATAACAGATCCTTTAGAGATTACATATATCCAATATAGTAGATGTATCTGTATCTGTTCCAACATGTTTAATGTGCTCCTTTGTGTAGATCTTGGATGCAGACGTCATATTTCTCAGGTGCATGCTTGAAGTAAACGTCTCTGGTGATGTGATCTTTTATACCAAACACATTGTAATTAAGTTGATAGTTGATTGTTCAGTAGAAAACACATTAAACTCTTAGAGCTTCACAAACTCTACAAACAGAATTGAGTTTAAATGAGTTCAGTATTATTTTGTTAGATTTGTCCTTTACTCAAGGATTATTCAAATTGAATATGTGTCTTTCTCCATTTGCAGTGGGAAACCATGTCACAATGGTTGCGGCTTAAAAAGATGCTTAAAATATTAGGCACAGCTCCAAAAGTCACTATGTACATTTATACAGTCGACCTAAGATTCATTAATACTTTTCCCTTATGATTTTCCTGATTTCTCTTTTTTTATCCTGTTTCATCGTCACTCTGCATATGTAAAACAGCTCATCACAAAACCAATTTTCAACATTTGAGAAACCATTTTTAATATAAAACAATATTTTTAAGAGGTTGAACTGTCAGAGATTTTGGTCACTGGTGTTATCAGGACTCTTATATTACATTTTAACACAGTATTTTCAGCTCTATTAAACTGCTTCTTTGGGTCAAGGCCCGTCAGGGAGGAAGCATCTCAAGGCATGAGAAGGCGAGTCCACACTTGCTCACTATATTTCTTTAATTTTTTAAAAATTTTGTTTATCAGGCATCACATAACTTCTGTGTGTCACCGGTGTTATGTGCTTTAATGGCTGGGTAATTAAAATCTTATCAAAACAATGCCATATTATCATTTTTATTACTGATTTTAAATAGTTGCACAAGGTCACCAGACCGGCAATGAGCCAGCCAATTTACAAAATCCTCAGTTTTAAACAGAATGTCACTGGAGTCACAGTCACTGGTCTTACACTATTTTCATGTAACACCAGTGACTGTAAAATACGTTTGGAATTAAGCTCTCCTTTTGTCCTTTTCATTTACACCTTCAAAGTCATTATGATGTCTCAAAAGCCCTGAGATTTTTGTTCCTCTTGCCGGTCACTTCCCACACACTTTATTGTGTAATCAAATTCATATCAATTAAATGATATTGCCCACAACCATGCTAAGTGCTGTCCAGTAGTTGCTACCCCTCACACCACATGCTCAAAAAATATTTCCTTTATTAATTAATTGCTTAGCAGGCTAGCTTGTCATGTGGTTTGAGTGTGATCAGCTTGTGGTCAGCACAGCTGAGGATGATGAGAAGCAGGAATGCAGCATGTTGCTTCAGGATGGAGACTGAGTGATTGATAATGCTGTATAATGCAGTGGTATCGACAATATAATGTTATCTTTGTATGCAAATACTTCTCCTTATCAGTTGGCCTGTCACAATTATTGCTTAATCACCTGATAGAAATTATTTGAGCTGATCACAGTGAGTTGACCGCAGTTATTTTCCACAGTTGTGCTTTCACAGACAGAAGGTGCATTGTGATCTGTTCAGGTGAGGCAAATAAAAAGAAAGCAGAAAATGCATTTAATGAAACACATCACTGGTCTTACAGAAGTTAGACCTTCTTGGTACTATAAACACCTTTAGAGGGCAGCAGTGAGTAATGTTTGTTGTCAGTTGGGTCTTTTGCCAGTTGAGAGCTAATAAGTATCGACAGCTAGGATGTAAGCTAATCTGTCAGTGTGGCCAGTTTAAGCTTGTACTTTAACAGTTGCATATAATAAACAAAAACAGTTAATTCAGCTGTTTATCACAAAAATATATGTGGCATTTAATCGTTAGCTAGCTTAGACAGATGTTGCTAAGAATAACCTTGAATTAGTATAGAACCTTTACATCATGTGGACCTTCTTTAAAGTTTCTTTGAACTTCCTTCACACTCACACATCATATATAAGATCACCAAAAACCCCTTTTGGCCCCTTTATTACTGACTCTTAACTTTATTTGCTTTCACTTTTTTACTGTTATGTCCGTGTAGCCATGTTTAAATGTGGAAACTTCCTCTTTTAATTCTTCTAAGACTTTTAAAAAGTACCAAGGGAATAAATGCCCTTGTTTGAAATTAAACCATTGTAAAGTCTTTTAGTAATCATTTGGTTCCTGACTTTGATGTCTTTTCCCCCTAGGACTGAAGGAAAGCTCTAGGATGTCTCACGCTGACTCGGCTCTACTGGCTGAGATTATGGATGAAGCCAGGAGGCAGGTCGGGGTGGTGTACAGCCAAGACCGCCAGTGATCCTCTTCTTCAGCTGTTTTGTGGTTTGCCACTTGTTTACTTCAGTGCAATAAAACCAAGTTAGATCACTTGCTTCTATCTGTTCTCTCTGGATTTGACTCTCATGTCATTTGATATTTTGGCTGTTCTGTTACTGCATAACAGCAGTTCAAAGGTGAAGATATGGTATTCTTTAAGAGAATGAAGTCATGTCAGCAGTTAAATAAGATGGTAAGATGGTTATGTAAGTCTCATGTATTGTCTCAGCTACGTTATGGCTGTAATTCTTTTGTTCTTGTGCTTCATAAAATGCTGCAGCATTTAAGATAATACTTGAACTCTGCTATACTTTGGCCTTATAAGCTTCCTTAGTACAAAAAGGCCTTTAGGTGGAAATAGAAAAGGTTGGATATTATTGTCTAAGCGGCTTTAATACATTTAAAATGTTTTAACATAGTAAATCTAGCAAGTCTTATGCTCAGTAGCACAAAAAATATACATATATATGTACTGCCCTGGACACTGGTGACCTGTGAAGAATTCCATGCCTTCTGCCCAACGAGTGCTGGGATAGGCTCCAGCACCCAGGAGGATAAGTGGCTTAGAAGATTGATTATATATATATATATATATATATATACACACACTGTAGTCCATCTGTTTCTCTGTATAATTTGCCTTATTCTTTACCCTGTTCTTCAGTGGTCAGAACACGTGCAGGACCACCACACAACAAGCGTTATTTTGGTAGTGAATCATTCTCCACGTAGTGCTGGTACAAATGGATCAGTCATAGCAGTGGTGCTGGACTGTGAATAGTCCACCAACCAAAAATATCCAGCCAACAGAGTCCTCTTACCACTGATGAAAAACTAGAGGATGACCAACACAAACTGTGCAGCAGCAGATGAGCTACTGTCTCTGACTTTACATCTGCAAGGTGGACAACTATCACTACCACCACCACAACACTGTAGTGCTGAGAATGATCCACCACCCAAATAATACCTGCGCTGTACTGTGGGGGGTCCTGACCATTAAAGAACGGGGTAAAAGGGGGGCTAACAAAGTATGTAAAAAAACGAATGGACTGCAGTCTGTAATTGTAGAACTACAAAGTGCTCCTACATAGTAAGGGGAGCTGATAAAATGGGCACAGATTGTAGATACTTGAAGGTGACCTTGTACTGAAGTGGCCAGCTGGTGTATATATAATGTGCAAAATTCAGAGACCACCCTTCATTTATTTAATTTCCTGCCAAAACTACACATCCATTTTTTCATACTTTGTCTTTATTAGAGCTTCTATTACTTTTGGGAGACCTGCTTTCAGTTTTTCAAAGAAATTTGCAGGAACATTTTCTATGCTTCTCGTAAACACCTCCAAAGTTCAGTCTTGTGCTGGAGGTTTTTGTGTAATTTTATGGCGCTTGACATCAGTGACACCATGAGACATTAGTAAATTTAATTTACAATGTTTTACTTTTAGTTTAGGCTACTTTACCCACTCCTACATGTAGTATATCGTATTGACTCTGGAGACAAATGAACTTGTGTAGAATTACAGTGTATATTGTGCTAGCTCCATTTAAATGTTTGACTTGTAATATATCTGAATGTGAGATATTTCAATGAGGCAACAAACAGATGTGATAAGTGCTCTTCTCTTTAATAGATTGATCTGGTCTTGAACAATACAACAAGTTTGATACACTTTTTTTTCTCAACATCTTTAAACCCTAAACCCTAGCGTCACAATCAGAGAAGCAGGCGGATATAAGGCTACACACACACTCGACTTACACTGGAGCCGACAGACGAGCGAGAGAGTGAGCACAAGAGGACAGGAACAGCAGGAGAGAGAGAGAGAAAGGGAGGAAGAATTGTGGTGGACCATGCCTGATCGTTCATCTCTCTCCATTCTTTCAGACATAAGCAGCTCTTTCTTTGACCAACTCTGTGATGGTCATCTCTTTATTGCCATCAAAAATTTGACCCAAATGCTAAACAAAACTTAAAAGGGCTTTCAACTACTTTCTCACTCTCAACACACAAATTAGCAGAATAGAACTAAGATGGGCATCCAACATCATTTCTTTTCTCTTAGGTTAGGAAAAAATATGTGTGTTATATACTGTGGCATTGGTTGCCCCAAAACCCAAACATTTCACAACTCAAAAGTCAAGTATAATACAGGATGTAACATTGTCTACAGTAGATGTAGGAGTGCAAACACTAGCACAGTGCAGAAAGAGCACACACAGAGTAATAAAAGCACACAGAGACACAGCTAAGGTTACAAATGGGTCCCTCTGTATTCAGTCATGGTGAAGGAAACTGGAGAAGCAAGAGCTGTAAGAGGAGCCACTGTTCGCTCTATGGCCACTGGAGTGTTCTAGGAGGATAATATCGATTGCAGGACAAAGACAGTAGCTCTGTCGTACAGCTCTCTTACCCTGCATACTAAAGCAGACATGCAGAAAGACAGCCCAGACTTAAAGCTCTACTGCCTAACTTGCATAAGGAGTGATGTACATGGTCGTTTGTGAGCACAACATTAATAGAAGACTAACAGGTTGGCACATGTGCCAAAAAAAACTGGAGAATGCAACTAAACAAGTATAATTAAACCAACTGAGAACTTTTGTGTTGAAAGAAACTGTTGCTAAAACTGGCCCTTTTGCAGTAGAAACCTTACTGATGCTGGGGTGCCAGTCTACTCAACCTGCCTGCATGGGGGAAAGTGGAATGTAAGGACACAGGGAAGGATAGGTGGATGGATTAAGGAGTGGAAGGGCATGCCCACGATGTCTAGGGCACTGGGACCACGCGCATGGTGTTGGTGAAACCGGAGCCTGGACGCCAGCCGGTCAGCACGATCACCACGTCACCGGACTTGAAGAAGCCTCGGGCCTTGCCTAAAAAGCAAGAATCAAAGTAGGTTAAATAGGAAGATACACTCTAAACCATCGATGTCCAATCCTGGTCTTGGAGATCTAGCACCCTGTAAAGTTCAGTTCCAACCCTGATCTAACACATTGGATCCAGATAATGAGGCCTTTAGGGGCATCTGAATATTAGAGCAAAGTGTGGAGCTAAAGTTCTCTAGATCTCCAGGACCAGGATTAAGTAACTCTACTGTAATTAATACAAAAAAAGTAGTAATAGTAGTCAGTCAGCTCAGATCAGCTTTTTCAACTACAGAAGAACTGAGTTAGTCCTGGGTTACCACCATGGTGCGCTGTATGGTTTTTCGCCTGGTGGAAATCCTCCCTTGGGAAATTTCTCATTTCACTGAACGACTTAGATGGATGAATGAGATCCATGATCTCAAATATGGCCAATGAACCACATCCCAGATCAATTCTTCTATTGGCATCCATGCATTACTTTGGATACAAGTTTCCTAGCTTGCTTAGAAATTCTGATGTGAGACACCCATTGTTCTCTTTAACCTAATTTAGGGGCCTTTTTCACAAAGTAGGGTTTCTTGTTTATCCAGCTAACATCAAGCTTAGCTTGATGATTCAGGTCTTTTTTTTGGGTCCGTTTTTTTTCCTCTTTGTGACAGTTGTGGCATCAGTCTCGTTAAAAATACTGGTTTTCAGTAAAGGAAGCATAGATATCAAGAATATAAAGCAATTACCATGACAACAAGCGTTAACACTGGCGGTGGCAACAGTACTGCTTACCACTATACCACTGCATTATAATACTATACTACATATTTACAGTGCTATTTATATAGGCTGCTCAACTACTCAGGTTTCCAGCAATTGGCTGTGGTTAAAAGAGTAGAAAGAGTTGTAACAAGAGTTATATGGTTACATTTGTAAAGCTTAAGCTTGGTCGAGAATCATGAGTTGAATCTGGTGTGTCAGAGCACAGAAAACCCTAAACTGCAGGGTCTTGTAGTGCTCCTCTAGTGCCCTCTTACCAACTTCCATGGCGAAGTTGACTCTGAGGTCCACGTCCTCTGCCCACACATCATGAGCAGGTTTGTTGTAGAACACAGGGAAGATGCCGCGGTACAGGTGGGCCTGGCGGGCTGTCTGTCCATTACGGGTCACCGCAATGATGGGTGCGCGGGGGCGGTACCGAGAGAGCAAGTGTGCAGACCTGGGTGGAGACACAAAATCCTACAGTGAATCTGAACGGTCAGGAGGTTCTACCAAGAAGAAATAGAGGTAAAAAGCAATGGCTGAAAAAATGTTCCATTTCTTACTGGTGTCACAGAGTACACTGTACTGTACCGTACTTGGATTATATCTACTACATGTTTAACATGCAAAAGTTTAATTCAATTAAATTACATTCAAAATTTAAAAAGACAAAAACACCACAACAGCTGAATTAAGAGTCAACTCACCCAGACATACAGATACAGACACATACATTTCAAGGACAAAGCAGTACAGCAAACAATCACAGTGAAAAAATAATAAAGATTGTTGACACTTGGAGCAGAAAACCTGCTAGACCAACTACCACTATGTTTTCCCCTCTTACGCAGCCATACATGATTTATACTCAAACACTCGGGGGGAAGAGAGAGAGCAAGAGAGAGAGAGTTAACATTATCTAATAAGCATTAACCTTTTTACATCTGTGATTACCAGCAATAATAAAAAAAAACACCATGCTGTAATTTTACATTAAAAGGCCCAAACTCTACATTTTTTCCCTGAGGTCCACTAATAACATTTGTGTGGGTTTATGTACAAAACAATCCTAGTTCACTTTTAAATCATTATTTTCCAACCTTTATTTATTCATTGTTAACAGGGTATTTGCACTTGCTGTTTTTGATGCACCTTTAAGACTAATACATGTAAATGAGCTCTGCTAAGATTGGCTGTGCTGTATAGTGCCCTATTCAAAAAGCAGGCCTAAACTGCTAAACTGCTGAAGGGCTAAATAGCCAGTTATATGTATGTGGTTTTCGTGACATCACAAAAATTGTTAATTGAGTTGGATCTTGGGTTGTTTTTGCTGCTTAGTTTCCATATATGGACTATATCAACTGGGGAGTGACTAGTATATATAATATAGGTATAAATAGCAATACTAACTCTAAATGACTTCTGTGTCAGGACCTGAATGAC